ACTAGCCTGTAGACCCCAGGGCTGGGTTCACCTCAGGGCAAACAACTGCAAGGGAGTGCAACCCCACCCATCAGCAGATAACTGGATTAAAGCTTCACTGAGCAAGGCCCAGCCTGCCATAGAAAGACCCAGTTTTCCCCATCATCAGCCCCTCCCTGGAAAAGGTCAGTTTTCATTCCAATCCCAAAGAAAGACAATGCCAAAGAATGTTCAAACTACCACACAATTGCACTCATCTCACACACTAGTAAAGTAATGCTCAAAATTCTCCAAGCCAGGCTTCAACAGTATGTGAACTATGAATTTCCAGATGTTCAACTAGATTTAGAAAAGGCAGAGGAACCAGAGATCAAATTGCCAACATCCACTGGATCATCAAATAAGCAAGAGAGTTCCAGAAAGACATCTACTTCTACTTTATTGATTACACCAAAGCCTTTGACTGTGTGGATCACAACAAACTGTGGAAAATTCTTCAAGAGATGGTAATACCAGACCACCTTACCTGTCTCCTGAGAAATCTGTATACAGGTCAAGAAGCAACAGTTAGAACTGGACATAGAACAACAGACTGGTTCCAAATCGGGAGAGACGTACGTCAAGGCTATATATTGTCACCCTGCTTATTTAACTTAAGCGCAGAATACAATCATGTGAAATGCCAGGCTGGATGAAGCAGAAGCTGTAATCAAGATTCCCAGGAGAAATTTCAATAACCTCAGATATGCAGATGAGATCACCCTTATGGNCTCTCCTCTTTCACTTTCATCAAGAGGCTCTTTAGTTCTTCCTCATTTTCTGCCATAAGGGTGGTGTCATCTGCATATCTGAGGTTATTGATATTTCTCCCAGCAATCTTGATTCCAGCTTGTGCTTCCTCCAGCCCAGCATTTCTCATGATGTACTCTGCATATAAGTTAAATAATCAGGGTGACAATATACAGCCTTGATGTACTCCTTTTCCTATTTGGAACCAGTCTGTTGTTCCATATCCAGTTCTAACTGTTGCTTCCTGTCCTGAATACAGATTTCTCAAGAGGCAGGTCAGGTGGTCTGGTATTCCCATCTCTTTCAGAATTTTCCACAGTTTATTGTGATCCACACAGTCAAAGGCTTTGTCATAACTAACTACAGAAATGCAAATACAAACTACAATGAGATATCACCTCACACCAGTCAGAATGATCATCATCAAAAAAGCTACAAATAATAAATGCTAGAGAGGATGTGGAGACAAGGGAACCCCCTTGCACTGTTGGTGGGAATGTAAATGGATACACCTACTATGGAAGACAGGAGATTCCTTAAAAAACTAGGAATAAAAAGCTACCACATGACTGAACAGCCTCACTTCTAGGCATATACCCTGAGAAAATCATAAAATCATAACTGAAAAAGACACATGTATCCCAATGTTCACAGAAGCACTATTTACAATATCTAGGACATGGAAGCAAACTAGATGTCAATCAACAAACAAGTAGATAAAGAAGCTGTGGTGCATATATACAATGGAATATTACTCCACCATAAAAAGGAGCACATTTGAGTCAGTGCTAATGAGGTGGATGAACTTAGAGCCTATTACACAGAGTGAAGTAACTTAGAAAAACAAGTATTGTATATTAAGGCATAGAAATTGATTCTAGAAAGATGGTACTGATGAACCTATTCATTTGCAGGGAAGCAATGGAGACACAGACATAGAGAATAGACTTATGGAACCATTTGTGGGGTTGGGAAGGAAAGGGTAGGATGAATGGAGAGAGCAGCATGGAGACACATACACTACCACATGTAAAAGAGATAACCAGTGGGAAATTGCTATATGACACAGTGAACTCAAACCAGGGCTCTATGACAATCTAGAGGGGTGGGATGGGGTGGTAGGGAGGTTGAAGAAGGAAGGAACATATGTATACCCATGGCTGATTCATGTTGATGTATGGCAGAATCAACACAATATTATAAAGCAATTATCCTTCAATTAAAAATAAATACATTAAAAAAAACCTTCCAGGGATAAACTTTTAGTTATAAGGTAAATAAGTACTAGGGATGCAATGTACAATATGATTAGTGTGATTAACACTGCTGTATGTTTCATAGGAAAGATGTTGACAGAGTAAATCCTAGGATTTATCATCACGAGGAAAATTTTTTTCTCTATCTTTAATTTTATACCTAGCTGAGATAACGGCTGTTTAGATGGNTATTCTATTGTTGAGTAACTGTTAATCTATATTCATCAAATGAAATCTGTACATAAAGTCATAGAATTTCCCTTGAAACTGAAAGAGCCTCCTTAATAATGTGCATTTCATTTTATACACAAAAATATGATATATTATATAAAAATTATTCAAATGGTGGAATTTTGGTACTTGAGAGAACACTTCAATAAAATACAAAACTTGCTTATGTGTATAATTCAGCTTTCAGTGATATTTAGAGACCAGCATGTATCTGCAGGAGAGAATATGAATAGGAGATAAAGACTGAGGCCCTAGAGTTATAGTCTAAGAGAGTTATAGGGCTTCCCTTGTGGCTCAGCTGGTATAGAATCTGCCTGCAATGTGGGAGACCTGGATTCAATCCTTGGGTTGGGAAGATCTCCTGGATAAGGGAATGGCTACCCACTCCAGTATTCTGGTCTGGAAGATTCCACGCACTGTATAGTCCATGGAGTCGCAAATAGTCAGACATGACTGAGCAACTTTCACTTTAAATTGTTACAAAATTGGACAACAAAATACCTAAATGATAACATAAGGAACAATACTTTTTTTTTTTCTTTTAACATGGTTAAAAAAATTTCTACATAAATTATACACACCTGTTATAGAAAATTTAACAAATATTGATGTAAAGAAAAAGAAAATACCACACAACCATTGCTAACTTTGGGTTTAGTTTGCTCTTCCTTTTTTAATTCCTTATAGTTTAAAGTTACGGTACTGATTTGTGATCTTTCTTCTTTTTGAATGTAGGCATTTATAGCTATATATTTCCCTCCCAGCACTGACTTTGTAGCATCCTATACATTTTTGGAAAGTGAAAAAGCTGGCTTAAAACTCAGCATTCAAAAAAACTAAGATCATGGCATCCAGTCCCACCACTTCATGGCAAATAGATGGGCAAACAATGGAAACAGTGCAGAGTTGATTTTCTTGGGCTCCAAACTCACTGCAGATGGTGACTGCGCCATGAAATTAAAAGACGCTCCTTGGAAGAAAAGCCGTGACAAACCTAGACACCATGTTAAAAAGCAGAGACATTACTTTGCCAACAAAAGTCTGTCTGGTCAAAGTTATGGTTTTTCCAGTAGTCATGTGCGGATGTGAGAATTGGTCTATAAAGAAAGCTGAGGGCCGAAGAATTTATGCTTTTGAACTGTGGTGTTGGAGAAGACTCTTGAGAGTTCCTTGGACTGCAAGGAGATCCAACCAGTCCATCCTAAAGGAAATCAGTCCAGAATGCTCATTGGAAGGACTGATGCTGAAGCCGAAACTCCAAAACTTTGGCCACCTGATGCGAAGAACTGACTCACTGGAAAAGACCAATGCTGGGAAAGATTGAAGACAGAAGGAGAAGGGGACAACAGAGGATGAGATGGTTGGATGGCATTACTGACTCAATGGACAGGAGTTTGAGTAAGCTATGGGAGTTGGTGATGGACAGGGAAGGCTGGCATGCTGCAGTCCATGGGGTGCACAGAGTCAGACATGACTGAGCAACTGAACTGATAATTTTTTGGAATGCATATTTTCATTTAAGTTTTTTCTAATTTCTCTGTGCTGTTTTCTTTGATCCATTGATACTTGTTTGTTTAATTTTCACACATTTCTGAATATGTGAGCATGTGTTAATTTTCACATATTTGTGAATTTTCTAGTTTTTGCTCTTTATTCTGTTGTGATCAGAAAAGACACTTTGCATGACTTCAATCTTTTAAAATCTATTGAAATATATTTTGAGGACTCACATATGGTCTATTCTGGAGAATATTCCATAAGACTAACTACATTTTTATATACCCCACTAGAATTTTGTTGTCCATTTAGGTATGCAGGCCAATAACTATATACATGTGAATGAAGCTATAAGGACTAAATGTGCTTTTCATACATCATTTCAGTTTCATATTATCCCATTATTTAATTATATCATAATGTATTTAGCCAATATATTATATGGCTAAAATTATAAATTATAAAATTATAAAATTATAATTTTATAAAATT